ATGTTTTATATCTTTATATCTTTCGTGATATCTTTCTTATTTTTCACAATATCGTTCCTCTCTTTCGTAATATTCTTCTGTTTCTTGTTTTTTCCATTTTCAAATTTCTCCGTTATATTTCTTTCTATTTCTACTTTACTCATCCTTCCTTTTTTCTTTCTTTTTTCTTTTCTTTTCTTTCTTTCTTTTCTTTTTTCTTTTTCTTTCTTTTATTCTTTTTTTCTTATATTCTTTTTCTTTTCTTTCTTTCTTCCTTTTCTTTCTTTCTTTATTTCACTTTTTCTTTCTTTCTTTTTCTTTTCTTTCTTTCTTTTTCTTTCTTTTTTTTTTTCTTTTCTTTCTTTCTTCCATTCTTTTCTTTCCTTTTTATTTCTATTATACTTTATCTTTCTTTCTTCCTTTCTTTCTTTTCTATTTCTACTTTTACTCATCCTTCCTTTTTTTTTTTTTTCTTTTTCTTTCTTTCTTTCTTTCTTTTTTCTTTCTTTTCTTTTTCTTATATTTTTTCTTTCTTACCCTTCCTCCTTTTTTCTTTCTTTCTTTCTTTCTTTATTTCTTTCTTTCTTTCTATTTCTACTTTACTCATCCTTCCTTTTTTCTTTCTTTCTTTCTTTCTTTCTTACTTTCTTTCTTTCTTTCTTTCTTTCTTTCTTATATTCTTTTTCTTTCTTACCCTTCTTCCTTTCTTTCTTTCTTTCTTCTCTATTTCTACTTAACCCTCTCTTCTTTCTTTCTTTCTTTCTTTCTTTCTTTCTTTTTTTCACTTCTTCATTTCTTTTCTTTTTTTTTTGTTTATACTTCATCCATACTTCTTTTTTCTGTTCTTTTTCTTTTGGTTTCTTTGTTTTCTTTATTTCTGTCATTCTTTCTTCCTCATTTCTACCTCCCTTTCTTACATACTATCTTTCTTTCTTTCTTTCTTTCTTATTTTTTACCTTCCTTTCTTACCTACTATCTTTCTTTTCTTTCTTTTCTTTCTTTCTTTCTTTCTTTCTTTTCCAGTTCTACCTCCCTCTCTTTATTTGTTTTATTAGTTTCTTTTTTATTTCTACTTTACTTTTATCTTTCTTTTTTCTCATTTCCACATCCCTCTCTTAATTACTATTGTTCTTTCTTTCTTTCTTTCTTTCTTTCTTTCTTTCTTTCTTCCCGTTTCTTTTACCTTCTTTCTTTCTTACTTTTTCTTTCTACCTCCCTATCTTTCACTTTTTTCTTACTTTTTTCTTTCTTTTTGTTTCTTTCCTTCTTTCGTGTTTATATTTTCCTCTTTTATCTTTTCATTTTATTTTTCTTTCTTCTTCATTTCTATCTTCTCTTACATGCGATCTTTCTTCTTTCTTTTTAATTTCTACCTTCCGTTTTTACACATCTTTCTTTCTCTCTTTTCTACCTCTCTCTTAACTCTCTTTCTTTCTTTCTTTCTTTTTGTTTCTTTCATTCTCCCTTGTTTCTACTTTACTCTCTTATCTTTCTTTCTTTTTTATCTTTCTTTCTTCCTCATTTTTACCTTCCTCCTTTACCTACTTTCTTTATTCCTGTTTCTCTTTGCTTTTTTTTTCTCCTTTCTTTCTTTCTTTCTTTCTTTCGTTCGTTCTTTCTTTCTTTCTTTCTTTCTTTCTTTCTTTCTTTCTTTCTTTATCGTTTCTACCTCCCTACCTTTCACTTCTTTCTTATTTTCTTTCTTTTTTTCTTCTTTCTTTCTTGTTTATACTTTCCTCTCTTATGTTTTCTTTCTTTTTATCTTCCTTTTTTTCCTCATTTCTACCTCCCTGTCTTACGTACTGTCTTTCTTTCTTTTTAATTTCTACCTTCCTTTCTTACCTACTATATTTATTTCTTTCTCATTTCTACCTCTTCTCTCTCTCTTACCTCTCTTTCTTTCTTTTTGTTTATTTTCCTCCCTTTTTTTACTTTCCTCTCCTATCTTTCTTTCTTTTTATCTGTATTTGTCATTACTACCTTTTTTTCTTACCTCTCTTTCTTTCTATATTTCTGTTTCTCTTCTCTTCTTTCTTTTTACTTCCCTTCTTTCTTTTTGCTTCTTTCTTTCTTTCTTTTCATCACCCGGGCGTCAGCAGATTTTATTGCTATTTAAAGTCATACGGCAAGACAGAATTGAGTGTCCTTCTGCTCTTCGTGTGCAAACTACGGTATGTCACCCTACACACTATTTAGACTACGCTTCTTTTCTTTCTTCTTCTTCTTCTTCTTCTTCTTCTTCTTCTTCTTCTTCTTCTTCTTTTCGTCATTTACTCCTTCACCCTTTCCTTCACCCCCTGACACTCCTGCACATGTGGCCGGTGACACATAGTCTATACAGAATGCATATGCTTCTACGAAAAAGAAACATCTAAACCTAACCGTCTAGTTGCCCGTCTCGAACCACATAATATATCATCCGTCCCGACGGGTTGCTCACATGTTTTCATCTATGTTGTTGCGTATTCATGTCTGTTCTCCTTTTTCTTCCCCTGTCTGTCTGTGTGTCTGCTTCTTAGGCAGAGTGTCTGTCAAAGACATTGTCTTAGTTACTTTTCTGTTTTTCATCCATTTTCTTTATTCTTGCTATTATTGTTTCACGAACATTTTTCGTTTTTTTTTTAAACTGACCGCCATATCTATTTCGTCTCAACTTCATCGGGTTTTACTTAAAGATAAATATAAAAAAAATTACCCGCTTTTTCTGTTTTTTTTGTCTGTGTTTTTTTTTTCTTTCTACTTTTTTCTTTTTTTTCTTTCTTTTTGTTGCTGTTTTTCTTTCAATTTTTTTTTTCATTTTTCTTTTTCTTATGTTTTCATTCTCACTATTTTTCATTCCTTCGTTTTAAATCATTCCTTCTTTTTCTTTCATTCACTCTTTTCTTTGGTTTTCATTCACTTTTTTTCTGTCTTGAATCCATTTTCTTGCATATCTTTTCCTTCTTCCTTCTTTTTTCATTTTTACTTTTTCTCAAATTCCTCCATTTTCTTTCATTGACTTTTCCTTCATTCTCTCTTATTCTTATTCTTTTTTTATCATGAACTACTTTCTGTAAATTCTTTTTTCTCTTTCCTTCTTTTTCTTTCCTTCTCTCTTTTTCTCCTTCTCTCTTTTAATTATCTTTTATTTCACTTTGCTCTAACCTTCATATCTAAGACCTGCTATGTGGTGTACACTAAAACGAAGAACCGTCATTTCCTTTCCTATTCTATTGGTGAGATGTAACTTCCCCTCGAACAGTTTCTTCCCAGGAATCGCTTCTTTTTGGAACCGACTCCTAAGAGGATACTTTCCAGACGACAACAATCTCAACCTTTTCGTGCCTAGAACAGAGTGTCTCAGAATTTAATATTTCAGTGAAATCAGACAATATTTTTAAAAACTCACTTTTATTTCTGTTCATCATATTTAATGTGTTAGAAGTGTGTAAATTTCTCATTTAGTTTATAGCTTTATAATTTGTACATTCTTTTTTCTAGTTTTATTTTCATTCCCTTTCAGAATCCTATCAATAAGGAATACACAAGAACGCATCTTTGTTGACGCTCACTTTTATATTTCTTTGCATAGGGTTTCATAAAAACAAAGGATTATCTCCAAGTGATCAACAGTTTAGCTGAGCTTAAAAAAGACATTCAGATGGCAGTGCAGAAGATAACTTCTAAAATGCATAAAAATGTGTTTCTCAACGCTAGATTGGATTTGATATGCGAAGGATACAGACCTTACACATGTTGATATATATATATATATATATATATATATATATATATATATATATATAAATAGAGAGAGAGAGAAAGTGGAGAGATTATAGTTGTTCCAACGAGAGAAAAGTGTATATATTAAAAAGATGAACCGCAAAGGTTTTTGGTTGAAATGGGAATTTATTTATTTAAAAAAAATATATTATACTCTATTTTCCATAATTGTGCTACACGAGTTTCTGGTTTCATGACCTTCTTCAGGCAAAGACTAGATATTTCCACATATTATAGAAATTAATTTTTGTGTGGTAGTAATTCAAATGTCTTTCTTGGACTGGATATAAAATAATAATAATAATAATAATATTATTATTATTATTATTATTAATAATAATAATAATAATAATAAACTATCAAAATATAAGTATCTTGAAATGGAAATCTCAAAAATTTGGCACAAGAACATCACTAATTCCAGTTGTTGTTGGAGACCTCTGCTTGACTGATTGGAAAAAGTTTCTGGATAGACTCATTGAAGGGATTCCTAGTAGACCAGGCCTTAAAGAAATACAAAAAAATTGTACTCACAAGTACAGCTCACACATTACGAAAAAATTTATTTATACTGATTGGACTATTATCCTCATCCTTATTATCATGTGTGCAGATTGTACGCTCCGGCCTTCTTCAGATGACTGGAATTTAGAACTGAACCCTTTATTTCGTCCAAAAGGTTAGATTGTCCACAACTACCGTATCCAGGTATTGTAATCACAAATTTGAGTCAAGTCACTGGATACAACCAACGCTTTTATCCACTGGGCCATGTGTCCTTGAGGACATCAGTGTATGTATTTTTGAGACTTATAAACGTAATGTCCTATAAATATTTTCAGAGTATTTTTTTCAGATGAGGTATTAGGGTAGCTGTAGTAAGAATGTTAAGTATGAATGTGTTGTTTTGGTGTAACGATTTCTGAGTCGGTAATCGTGGCTAGCTATGTTTAAGATAAGACAGATTGAAGACCAGCCTTTCATTAGGTCCCCTTCTACCTTGTCTCATTTTTTTTTTTTTGTATTATTGAAAATTAATATAACTTTCCGTTTTCACATATAGGGACTAGTTATAACTTAATAGAGACACTGAGGTATTAGGTTAGCTGTAGTAAGAATGTTAAGTAAGAATGTGTTGTTTTCGTGTAACGAATACTGTGATATATTTGGGTCGGTAATTGTGGCTATCTAAGTTTAAAACAAGACCGAGTGAAGACCAACATTCCCCTATGGCCCCTTCTACCTTGCGCCATATTCTTGTATTATTTAAAATATATATTACGTTCCTCTTTCCAGAAGAAAAATAGCACATATGTGGACTATTTAGGACTTCATAGAGACACTGAGGTATTATGGTAGCTGTAGTAAGAATGGGAAGAATCTAAGGAATACTGTGGGCCAGTGATTGTGGCTAACAAACTTTAATTATAAGACAAATGATGGCCAGTTTTCCATGTCCCCGCTTTTAGACTGGTGCCACATTTTTTATAAAAAAAAATAAATATCACTTTCCGTTTTGGTACCAAGACATTATGAATTTATCTGCAATATTAGATTGACGGCAAGGTTTCATCATTTTGCACTTGGAATGGTTAGATATAACTATACTATTTCTTCGTTTCTCTTCTCGCTTGTGGAACTCTCCTCTGGCTTCTTGCTTTCCAGTTAAATTTGATCTTCAAAAATTTTAATTATATGCAATGTCAACTGTTATCTTCTGTCTTCTTAATTCCTGTTCTTTTATTATTTGACATGCGGTCACGTCACGTTGAAACACCGGCTCTCGTATGATCACCGAATTTAAGCAACGTCGAGCCTGCTCAGTACATAGATGGGTAACAGCTTGTGAATGAAAGGTGTTATAATTTTGATGTGAGGGTGGTGTAATTGATAATGGCTCGAAATTGTTACTCGGAGAGACGAGTTCCAATTCCAGTTAGGTTCGTTATATTCGCTTACGCTCAAATACCCTTGGAAAACGTATAAATAAATCACTTCTAACTCCAGCTATGGTTTGAACAGCAGGATCTACTGAGTCGTCATGCTATTTTTGTCCGATATGGATGTTATTTCATGGAGTTGTCTGGTGATGTATGCCCTCAGTGGACACCAGATCATACTTACGGCCGTTTAAACACTAGCTTCTGTACCATCACCGAAGTTAAGCAACGTCGAGCCTTCTCAGCACCTAGATGGGTCAACACTTGTGAATACCAGACACTATAAGCTTGGATGTACGGCTGGGGTAATGGATATTGGTTCGGGAATTCTGAAATGAAGGGCAGAGTTTCAAATATCCTTGGAAAAGGCATGAATCCTCTTCCCTTACCAGTTAGTACGTTTTGTATCACTAAATACCTATTTTCTCCAAAACAAAAATTCTTGGAATCGAAAAACATTTTATGGCTTTAAAGAACGACATTTCTTTTCCTCTCTCTCTCTCCTTAATAATATTTTTCTTTTTCTCATTTTCTTTTACACTCAGTAGCCCTATTCGTCATAATGGATTTATGGCCTTTTCTGGGGTGAAATGATAAAAAAATATATTTTTTTTTTATGTTTTTTTTTTGTTTTTTTTTTTTATGTTTTTTGTTTTTTTTTAATCATTTCAGCCCAAGCATGGTGGGAATGCCACTGGTACGCAGGGGGGGTACTGAGAGCGAAAGTAGGGGAAAGACTGGTAACAGGATGGATTGAGAAAAGGATAAAAGATGAACGTGATTCAAGAAGACAGATGATGATGATTGACATTACATTTAAATATTTGAAGATTGTAGTTAACAGGGAAGCAGATCAACGGAAGGGAGTTCCACAGGCGGGTGGTGCGAGAAAAGAAACCGTTGGAGTAGAAGAGGCGATTGCATTTAACTATTTCAACAGTAAAAGATGCCAGTCTAGTCGCACGATTAAATTCATGCAATCGGTGCACCAAGAAAAAACTAGACAGAATCGTTGCAATGAGAATATTTCTAGTATAAATAATCAAAAATAAGTAATCTTTCAACATCTTAATAAATGAATCTATCTGACTTAGTTCAAGAACAAAAAATCAATATGCGTGATATACACTTAGTCGATCATCCATCTTTCGATACATGACTGACGAGGGAGATTTTCCCGCAATAGGTTGCCATTTCTTCCTGCAATACACCAGTTGTCATCCAAGGCTATAGAACCAGGTCTGTTCTGCTATTTATCCATAGCTGGTGGGGGAAAGAAGAAGAGGATTCATATCTTTCGCAATGGCATCAGCAAGTAAGTGAATGTAATGGATTCGACTGGAAAATCAGTCAGTCAGTTATGTGCCATGCGTGATACACGCTTAGGCGATCATCTATGTTTCGATACATGACTGACGAGGCAGATTCTGTCACTTCTTTCTGTGGTACACCAGTTGCCATCCAAGGCTACAGAACCCGGTCTGTCCTGCTATTTACCCATAGCTGGGGAGGAGGAGGAGAGGACTCACGGATTCGACTGGAATTCGAACTCGGCTCTCCGATTCCTCAATCCGAGATGCTATCCATTCTCCCACCGTTAGAATGGAGCTGGGGAGAGGAGAGGATTCATGCCTTTCCCAAAGGTATTAGCACGTAAGTGAATGTAATGGATTCGACTGGAAAGTCAGTCAGTCAGTTATGTTCCATGCATGATACACGCTTAGATTACAATGTATCTTTCGATACATGACTGACGAGGCAGATTTTTTTCCCGCAATAGGTTGCCACTTCTTTCTCCGGTAAATCATTTGCTATCCAAGGCTATAGAACCCAGTCTGTCCTGCTATATACCCATAGTAGGGGAGGTGAAGAAGAGGACTCATGGATTCGACTGGAATTCGAACTCGGCTCTCCGATTCCTCAGTCCAAGACGCTATGCATTACTCCACCGTTATTAATGTAAAATAATTTGAATAATTTAGAACGGAAAGAGCGACACTGAAATACAAAGACACACTGGGATAGCCAAAGATGCTTTTCAAAAGCTAAGCTTAGGATTTAGAAACATGAAAATTGATTAATTTGTTTGTTTAGCGGCCCATCAACTCCTTATGGGTCATTTAATGCAGAAGTTTAATTTTGTTCGATGATTTGAAGTAAATTAAAATATATGTTATTCTGCTTTCACAATTGAATACATGGTAGATAATACTCCGGATCTGTGTATATAGATATTTGTTTCGACATGGTCGTTTATGGTGTAGTTGCATACTGATTGATGTCCTGATTGAATTCTTTCATGTTCGTTGTTTTGGTTAGTTGATTTTGTTTAGCGGCATATCAACACCTCTATGGGTTATTTAATGTCGAAATCTAGATATTTTGAACTTATCTGATACTGCTGTCATATATGGTCTGATGCTCTCACTGTATGTCTCGAGGTCCTTGACAAAAATCCTGAGATGAATATGCAAGATGATAGTTCCTCACGAAGAAGGATCAGTACACCCGTCAACCTCCAACATTGATGAGAATATTTAGCAAACTCGAGAGATGGTAATAGTGAACTGGCGAATTCTCATCGATCAGGTAGCATGTTCTCTGCCGATTCAGATTACTGATCTTTGTTCCTCCCTGGTGCACACAGCTAGCGGAGCGGCTATGTTTACACTGTAACAGCAGAAAAAAAATTGGAGCGATCAAGCTCAAATCTCAATTACGTGACCACAATAGTACCAGTTATATGCACGCATGAGCATAGGGCACTGTTACAAACCTAAAGATATGTTATGGCGAAAGATTGTGGATAGTTATTGACTCACGCTTGTATTTTCATTCCATTTCATTTATCCTTATACATCATTAATCTAATGTCTGTAAATATCTTTAAACATGAATGATGATAAGAATCGAGTATGTATAGGCTCATAGGCATGGGCTTTTATACATGGACGTATATTTTGTTAGGATTGTTTGTTCGTTTCGTTTATCCAAATTGTTTTAAGGACTCGATTTTCGACCAGTTCCATGCCATATTCTCTTTTTCCCATTGATTAACGACAGATGAGGACTAGAAAAAAATGCTATAAGGTTTTGGTTTTTAGCTTAAATTCATGACCGGAAACACCAGCTACGCCATTGTTTACAGTGGTGTCATTCGTTCACCTTCCGGTTAAAATGGCGTTGGCAAAAGAGTGAAGCTGACGATGACTGCTTGGGTGGTTTAAGGTCCTTATTTTTTCCCTCCTCCTTTTTCGTTTTTCTTCTTCCTTTTTTCTTTCTTTATTTCTTTCTTTTTTTCTTTCTTTCTATCTTTTATTCACTTTATTCCTATTTTTTATTCATGTTGTTTTTTTTTTTCTTAGATACTATTTTACTACTGTTTTATATTTCGTTTCCCATTCTTTCCTTCTTTCTTCCTTCATTTCTATGTCTCTTTCTTTCTTTCTTTCTGTTTTTCTTTCTTTATTTCTTTATTCATTTATTTATTTATATCTCTTCATGTACTTGATTTTCTTTCTTTTTTTATACTTTTTCTTTCTTTTTTTCTTTCTTTCTTATCTTCATGTTTTTCTTTTTGTTTTCTTGTTTCTGTTTTCTTACTCTTATTCTTTCTTTCTTTTTTGTTTTATTTTCTTTCTAAATATTTTGTTTTTCGTTTACGCTTTCTTTTTTCTTAGATTCTTTCTTTCATTCATTCTTTCTCTCTTTCTTTCTTTCTTTATTTATTTCTATCATTTTCTTTCTAATTATTCCGTTTTTCGTTTACGATTTCATTTTTTCTTTAGATTCTATCTTTCTTTTTTGCTTCTTTTTGTTTCTAAATATTATGTTTTTCGTTTACGCTATGTTCATTTCCCTGGGCTTTTCCTTCTTTCTTTCTTTCTTTCTTTCTTTCTTTCTTCCTTCATTTTCTTTCTAAATATTTTGCTTTTCCTTTACGTTTTCTTCTTTTCCATAGATTTTTCTTTCTTTCTAAATATTTCGTTTTTCGTTTACGCTTTCTCCTTTTCTCTAGATTTTTTCTTTCTTTCTTTCTAAATATTTCGTTTTTCGTTTACGCTTTCTCCTTTTCTCTAGATTTTTTCTTTCTTTCTTTCTAAATATTTCGTTTTTCGTTTACGCTTTCTTCTTTTCTCTAGATTTTTTCTTTCTTTCTTTCTTTCTTTCTTTCTTTCTTTCTAAATATTTCGTTTTTCGTTTACGCTTTCTTCCTTTCTCTAGATTCTTTCTTTCTTTCTTTCTTTCTTTCTTTCTTTCTTTCTAAATATTTCGTTTTTCGTTAGCGCTTTCTTCTTCTCTCTAGATGTTTTCTCTCTTTCTTTCTTTCTTTCTTTCTTTCTTTCTTTCTTTCTTTCTAAATACTTCGTTTTTCGTTGGCGCTTTCTTCTTTTCTCTAGATTTTTTCTCTCTTTCTTTCTTTCTAATTATTTCGTTTTTCGTTGGCGCTTTCTTTTTTTATCTAGATTTTTTCTCTCTCTCTTTCTTTCTTCCTTTCTTTCTTTCTAAATATTTCGTTTTTCGTTGGCGCTTTCTTCTTTTCTCTAGATTATTTCATTCGTTCTTTCTTTCTTTCTTTCTAAATATTTTGGTTTTCGTTTACGATTTCATCTTTTTTATATATTCATTTTTAATTTATTCTTTTGTCTTTCATAGTCACTTCTTTTTTCTTGAACATATTTTCATGCAACCCTTGTCATGTATCATTCTTTTTTCATACATTTTTTGTCTTTTCTTTTTTTTTCTTTTTTTTTTTTTTCTTTCTCACTGACATTTCTTTCTTTGACCCTCTTTATTTATTGACATTTTGTAAATGTTTCTCTCTTCTCTTTTCCTGATTCTTCCTTCATCTTTTTACACTTTTTGATCTCAATTTTTTATTTATTGAATGTTTTTGTCTTTTTCCTATCGTTTTTTTTTTATTTCACATGTTTACATTTCGCTTTGCTTTAGTTAAATTCTTTCCATGATTTTCTGCGACTTTGATGATTTATTTTCATTTTATTTTTTTGTTTTTATTTTACCATCTCACTCTTTTTAAGTCATTTTCAAAATCTCCACCGCCACTAAAAGAATTAGAACATTTCCCTTTTTTCATTTTTTACTCTTTTAAACCGTTCTTCTGTCTTATTTAAGTGCAGCGAAACATTCAGAAGATCATGGCTCTCCACAACTTCCTACGTCCAAGCAAGGTTTGATTTCAATAACCACCTTTCCTTATTATGTGTACCAGAAATTTAAACTTTCTCTAAATGATTATGCCTCTTTTCTCACATTTCCCTTAAAACTTCCTGAATTTAGGAAACTTTTATGCACCATAGTTTCAACCACTGAGGTTATCTTTATCTTATATATATATATATATATATATATATATATATATATATATATATATATTTACTTTATACTTTAATTTCCCTTTCCTTTATTTATATTTAAATAAACACACACATCTATATATATATATATATATATATATATGTGTGTGTGTGTGTATATATATATATACATATATATATATATATATATATATATATATATATATATATATATATAGATAGATAGATAGATAGATAGATAGATTTTTTAATTTACTTTACTTCTGCATATATCAGTTAGTTATGTGCCATGCGTGATACAGACTTCGGTGATTATGGATCTTTCAATACATGACTGACGTGGCAGATTTTTTTCCCGCATTAGCTTGCCATTTCTTTTATGCAGGAGACCAATTCCATCCAAAGGCTATAGAATACGGTATGTAGATGGTGTGAAGAAAAACAAATAGCTGGACACTTTACCTTTATATATATATATATATATATATATATATATATATATATATATATATAAATTTATAAAAATAACATAGGTATGTGATTTTATAAAATCACTACAAAATATGATTTTATAACATTTTTATAATTTTTTTATAAAAATAATTATATCTGCTCTACTTTGTATTGAGCACTCTTTTAAGAATAGTAATTGTTGGTTATTGAATTCATTCCTGTATATATCAATTATATACTTGTATATATATATATATATATATATATATATATATATATATATATATATATATATATATATATAACTTGCTCTATAATACGTCCTGTCTTATTCTCAGTATCCTCCTGTTGCATCAAGTCTTTCGTTTTTTTTTATTTTGTTTATAGACACTACTCTTTGTTATATATATATATATATATATATATATATATATATATATATATATTTACTTTACTGTATATGTATATATATATATATATATATATAAAACTTCCTCTATAATATGTCCCGTCTTATTTTCAGTATCCTCCTGTTCTTCTCGTTTTCTTTATTTTATCTATAGACAGTACTCTCTGTTTTTTTTGTCAATATGTTATATATAAAGTACAATGGGTGTGTGTTTGTTTGTGCGTGTGTGTGCCAAAGAAACTCCTTCGCTTTCCCTGGTTTGATTTCAGTAACTACTAGCTCATTTAGAAGCCCTAGAAAAGTTAATCGCAGGGAACGATTTTCGTTTAGCTCAGATTCAGGTTTGCCAGATAACGCGAAGTTAAATATATGTATGATTATATTATACTAGCCTTCATCGTTGCTTTCATAGTTCAAGGGGAGTAACTCTTATTTTCCTTTTGTATCCAAAATTGCAGTGAGCTTATAATTTTAAGCTAGCTTTAAAGCCACTCTATTGGGTGCCATTTAAGCTAGCTCCTGCGCAGGACTCTTGGTTTTGCCATAATCCCAATAGTTAGGGACCGCTGGCTTACAGAGTGCGCCGCTGGTTTGAGCGCTATTTTTCTTTGCTAAAATTTCTCGAATGCAAAAACCGAGAATATAGTTTAATTAATAAAACTGGGGCGTTTATTGGCAATACGAAGTATCCACAATATTGATTTTCTAGGCGTAGCTTAGATGTTGCAAAAAGACGGAAGTATCGAGCACCCAGTGAGGATCAAATTCATTAATCAGTCGTAACTGTTTCAGTGAGATATGCTTCCTGACTATTACACCACTTCGAGGGGCCCACGAAGCATCTACTTCAAAGTGGAACTTAAACTAAGAAAATAATAATAACATTTGAAGTAACAAAAATGCCAGATTAAAAATAAATACGTTAATGCTTTAGAAATATAGGTAGCATACATTAATTCAAGCATGCTTCATTAAATAATATAGACGTATGCATATTCATTTTAATAATATTCCTTTCCAGATCTCCAATTATCTTTTTGATGTTAAGTTTAAATTCATCAAGGAAGACGCCGTATTTTTTGTTAAGCCAAGTACTTTCGATATGCTACAAGATCATCTTCAGGGATGAATTGTGAAGACAACAATATAACTGCAATCAATGTATTGAGGATTTTTGTAAAATTAACCGTTGTGGTTACGATGTTTTGTAAACAATGCAGAAATGTTAAATTGCAACACGGTGTTAAATGTAAGCCAACTCAAGTGCATTTTAAAATTATATATATATATATATATATACATATATATATGTGTGTGTGTGTGTCTCTGTGTGTGTGTGTAAAGGGAAGAGTTTATAATAGTTCAAAAGAGAGAAAAGTGTGTATATTAAAAAGAAGAGTGAAACCGCAAACGTTTTTGGTGGTAATATAATTTTTAAAAAAAATATATTATGCTTTATTTTCCTATAATTTTGCTACACGGGTTTCTGGTCTCAGGAACTTCATCAGGCAAAGAGTGGATATTTACACATATATTAAAAGGAATAATTTTTTCCTTATGTCAAACCAGATATCAGTGTTATTTTCATTTTTGCGTCACTTAAACGACAATTTATCAATCGCACACTGTACAAAGGACTGGAAACTGAGGAGAGCCATAGATAGCATCCACTAGATTAAACAAGAAGACCGTTCAAAACAGATGCAGGAGATTTCGAAGTCTCTGTAGGCCGTGGTTGAAACCAATAGTGATTTTATTGAAGAAATTTACGCTTTAGTATTTCAAGAAATGTTAGTGAAATGTTGGTAAATATATCTCTCTGTTAAAATGAGATGTCAGTGTTATTTTTTTTTTTGCGTCATTTAGAAGACAATTTATCCATCGCACCCTGTATAAGGGCTGTGTGAGATTCTGCCTGTTCACCTGTGTCTGTCTGCACTAATGTCTCTATACTGCTAAGTGCATATTGAATCCCAAGAAGAAATCCGAAGTTGAGGAAACAAGAAAGTGAACAGAAAATTGGAAGAAAAAAATACAAGTCAACAAAAGGCTCATTATTTTTTTTAACACGATTTTTGAAAGGAACAAAAAAAAAAGTTAAGCTAAATTAACAGTATGTAAATAAATGAGTGTTGCAAACAACAAAAAAAGGTTTTAAATAAAAACAAAACAAGACACCCAACGGCTTGCAAAAGATGAGGAAAAACATGAAAATAAAAATCAAAGATGTCAGCTATCTCGCTTAATGTGTTATCGGTCAGGGACAAGGGCCCTCTACAAAAAAATACAAATATTTTTTTTCGGAATCTGATGTAATTTAAATTGAAAAGTAATTTCTATTTTTTTTAATTCTTTGATCTCTTAAGTTAATACATTTATTTTCTATAGTTTCTTCTTCTCTTTCTTTCTTAGTGTCTTTCTTTTTTTATTTTCCTTTTTCGTTTAATCTACTATTTTTATGGTTTTCATTATACCATCCTTTCTTCATTTTTCGTTCTTTCTTTCTTTCTTTCTTCATTCCGTCTTTTACATTTTTCTTTCTTTCTTTTTTTTCCTTTCTTTCTTTCGTTCTTCATTCCGACTTTTCCTTTCTTTCTTTTTTCTTTCTTTTATCTTTTGCTTTTTTTCTATTTCTTTCTTTCTTTCTTCATTCTGTCTTTTCGTTTCTTTCCTTTTTTCTTTCTTTCCTTCTTTCTTTCTTAATTCCGTCTTTTCCTTTCTCTCTTTCTTTCTTTCATCATTTCCTCTTTTCTTTTTCTATTTCTTTTTATTTTTTCCCTCTTTCTTCCTTTCTTTCTCTTTTCTTTGTTTGTTTGTTTCTTTCTTTCTTTCTTTCTATCGTCTTTTCCTTTCCCTGTCTCTCTTTCTTTCTTTCTTTCTATCCTCTTTTTATTTCTCTTTTTCTTTCTTTCTTTCTTCATTCCGTCTTTTTCTTGCTTTCTATTTATTTCTTTTTCTTTCTTTCTTTCTTTCTTTCTTGTCTTAATTTTCCTTCCATATCCACCCGCTAATATTTCATGTTTGTCGAGCTCAGCCTCGAAAAATGTCAGAGCCGCTAATTTCTCGTATTCTTTATATTTCTTTAAGTTTTAACTTTTTTTTCTCCTTTTTTTAATATATTCTTTCTTTCTTCTGTTTTTTGTTGTTGTTTTTTTTTTATCTTTCTTTCTTTTGATATTCTTTCTTTCTTTTTCTTTCTTTACTATATATTTCTTTCTTTGTCATTCATTCATTTATTCTTTTGATCTTTTTTTCTCTTTCTATGTTTCTCTTTCTTTATTTCTTTGTTCATATTTCTTACTTTCATTCATCTCTGTTTTCCTTTCTTTCTTTTTTCTCTCCCATTTATTTATTCATTCATCTTTACTTTCTTACTTATTCATATATTTCATCGCATTTCTCTCTTCATTCTTTCATATAATTTTTGATACATTCCTATAAATTTTCTTGTCATAAACCTTTTAATCTTCCTTTTTTTGTTTCTTTTTCTTTCCAACTTTCTTTCTTTTATATTTATTGTTTCGTTTTTTCATCCTTTCTTCTTATTTCACTCTTTATTGTCTGATTTCTTTCTTTCTTTCGATTTTATACTTCATTCATTCTTTCTTTTAATTTAAGTTCATTTACTTCTTCCTTTCATTCATTTAGTCTTTTTCTCTGTTTTCTTTTCATTCTTTTTTCATTTTTCTTTCTTTTTTCTTTCTTTTCCTTTCTTTCTTTTTTTATTTATTTATTCCATTGTTATATTTATTTATTTATTTTTTCTATCCATCTTTCTTTCGTATAGTTTCTTTTTCTCTTTCTTTTATTATTTATTTTCGCATCTTACCACGTCTATTTCTTTTGGTTTTAAAATTTTCATTCTTTTATTGTTTCTTTCTTTTTTATTTAATTTTCATTCCTTATCCCTCTCCTCCATTTATTCATTTTTCTCTTTTTCTTTATAATTTCTTTTCTTTCCTTCCTTCCTTTCTTTCGTTTTCTTTCTTTAATTATTTAAATTTCCTCTTTCTTTTTCATTCATTTTTCTTTCATAACATTTTTTTTTCTTTTCTTCTTTTTCTCTACTTCTTTCGCATGTCTCTTTTTTTAATAAATGTTTGTCTTTCTTTCGTTAACTGCCCTGGTTTCAGGCCTATCGTTCTTTCCCAGGAAAGTGCATTGCTTTTTTAAAAAAAAAAAAAAAAGAAAGAATTCTGTTTCTTGTGTTTTAAGAGGAATGGTTTTTGTTAAGAGCGTCGGGCTGTGTTGGACGATAAACAAAAACATTCACCCTCCCCCTCGCTCTTTCCGACATTTCAATTGACGGCTTATCTATCGAATATAATCAACGCTAGATATGATTATTACTCAATCAAACAATGTTTTTAAGCTTTGTAAGTATGAACAATATCTATCTATCTATCTATCTATCTATCTATCTATCTATCTATCTATCTATTTATCTATCTATCTATCTATCTATAATAGTGATGTCAATGATAGTATGAAACCAAAGATTTTGACAGTCAATGGAAGCTTGACAAAAAACACATTTAAGGCAAACAGTCTTTGCAATAAATTCCTCGATATCAAAGACAGAACATTTATAGAATTAATATGAGTAAAAGGTTTGTCACTTAGCTGACTAATGTTACCTTCACCATAACAATTCCAGAGATTCGTCAGAAAACCTGCCCGTCCTTTCTTCAATCCCCTGAAGAGTGGACAGATAGATTTGATTACGAAACTCTAAAGTCGAGATGCTGAAAGTATCAATCAGCTAAGTGACAAACTTTTACATATTAATTATATAATATTATGGAATGAACAAAGTCCAACAATTACTTTTTATGTTTCTACGTTCTTGTATTTTAAAAACAGTAAAATCGACCTTAATAACCGAAATGCTCCTCTGTGGCTCAATCGGTAAAAGCACGTCAGGTCATAACACGGTTCCGTATAGGATACAGTTTCGTATTCCTGTCGGGGGAGGCATATTTTCTATAAAAATTTCTCGGATATTCAGGCCGGTAAAAGTTGTTCATATTGTTTATTATAAACAGGGCATTTACTTAAATATTTGTATCTCTAAAAAGAACGTATAAACATAAAAAATATCTTAAAAATATATATATTATTATTATTAATAATGATGATAATAATAAATTAATTAATTAAAAAATATCAAACACTTAAAATGCCATAGGTAATAACGTTTATTTCATGAAAGCTATAAAAATAGCCTTCAATCTTTCAAACCTGCAAACTAAATATAAACGGGAAAATTACACCAGGTTAAATTAATATTTTATTAAAATGTCCTTAACTAAACATTTTTTACGATAAATTTATAAAAGTTTGTTAATTGAAATATGTATGCGTCAGATTCTTAGCCAGCAATTGACACAGACAATGTTTCTTAATTCCAATTGACTTAACAAGATCTTCATTCAATCTGTAAATCAAGATGCAAGGTTGTAACGCATGTCATATTAAATCAGGTCAACACAAAGTCTACTGAGAATAAATACTCGGGTCTTTTTTCCACATATTTCCCCCCCCCATACGCCAACATTAGATGTTTTTTTTCTTCCTCAATACGATATCTTTATCGCATGAAATTCTCCGACATAGAGCTCTCCTTGGATCTTTATTCCCTTGGAAATTCCATATGGATTACCATTTTTATTTTATTTTATTATACATATACACATACATACACACACACACAAACAAACACACACACACAAACACATATATATATATATAATTATTTTAAAAAAATATGATTCCTTCGCTACATAAGAGTTCTCATGTTTCAAAAATCAGAGCCAAAAACCTCAATATAATTATTAAAATGAAATTTAATTAAAGTATCAAGCCCTGTTTCATCCTCAAGCGAAAATGTAAGAATTTAGGATTTAATTTCAATAATTATATTGAGCTTTTTGGCTCTAGTTTTTTTTTGAAACATGAGAACTCTTATGTAGCGAAGGAATCATATTTAAAAAAAAATAATTATAATTTAAGCTTTACTTCTGTATGTAGCACTGTTTTTTTTAAATAAAGACAAAAATACTAAAGAACACTGTATTATTTACCTATATATTCTTCCACAGACAGACTGTTTCGCTGTATCATAGCTCATCAGTGTGGCTACACGTCTGGTTGCCTCTAGCTAGGATCGAATTTGCGTCATTCTGGGATTCTATCACTAAGCCATTGGCGCAGGGCAGGGATGAAGGTGAATTTAAGCGTATTTATTTTTAGATAAACACACTGTAACTGAGAGAACTCGATTAGATTTACCGAAGAGTCCTGCATTATTAGCCATAATATTTACTGTTTGCAAACCCAAACTTCCTATATATATATATATATATATATATTATTATTATTATTATTATTATTATTATTATTATTGTTATTATTGTTATTATTATTATTATTAACGAAGAACTGAAAACGTCCAGCCGACAACATAATTAAAATAAAGAAATGAGTGCTGGACGAAAACTGAGAGAGAAAGCCACCCGGCGACCACATTACTAAAATCATCATGGATACTGAGGAGGGTGCTGGACAAAGAAACTGAAGCGCTCAAAGGAAAACGTTACTAAAATCTGCTGGAAGAATACTGAGAAGAGGACTTGAAGAACAATCGAAATCCTCCGGATGATAGCATTGCAAAAATATTCTAGAATAAGGAAGAGAGATCTAGCAAAAATGAAACCATTTTGGCATCGTTATTACTCGTGTCTGCTAAAAGACTATTGAGAATATTGGAGGAAAAGGCGAAATAGTGCAAAAGACATAATACTTAGAAATTTTCGAGTAGAAAGAAAATTTCAGCTGAGCCAATCGTATGTAAAGTGTTGGAGTATTCCTTGCAGAACTAAATGTTCGAGAACAAATCATAACAAAAGCAAACGAATACCGGAATGAAAAACGGTATAAGAATGAGTGGAGTGCTTGATTTTTAGACGAATGGCAGGTATTTGAGTGTTCGTGTCAACCACGAAGAAATTGTTAGTCTATACGACCAATGAATACAGGCATCTTTTTGTACAAATGATGAAACCCTTACTGAAGAAATGGGAAAGAAAAGATGAGTGACGAGACACGGTCATAAAAACAGAGAGAAAATAAAATAAAATAAAGACCAATAAAAATGAAAGAGGAAAATATACAGAGCCAAAATTGCTTCCCTCAAAAGAGAAATCCGAAAACTTGAGGAAGGAATGGTAAAGAAATTAAAAAGAAGAAGATAAAAAAAAACGCTTGAAGTGAACGCTGAAAGAACAGTTTGTTCGGCTTTATTATTTCCGAAATTATTCTTGGATTAATTAAAGAAAAATCAAAGAAATATATGAAAATTGGGAAAAAACATGGAAACATATGTACAAAAAAAAATCATCACAACGCAGGAAATGGGATTAACAATAGGGCATAATTCTACGATTGTCCGTAGGGTGTTTAGTTTTTTGTCCTCTGCTATGCTTCCGTACATACGAGCTTATTAAAACAAGAAGGAAAATCCGAAAGGATATTAAATGTATATATTTCTTTTATCTACACATACGTATTCATAGACCCATATACGCACACAGACACAGACACAAAGAAAATTATTAATATATCTATCTTAGTTCATTAATTATCTATCTATCTATCTATCTATCTATCTATCTATCTATCTCCATTCGTTCATTCTTTATCTATCAATGCATCTCTCTCCCCCTAATGTCAAACGTTAAAAATCGTCGGAGATTGTGTGTTTATAAAGAGTAATTCAAACTTTGCGAACCAGACGCTTCTCTGTAGCTCAATAGTATAGCACGCCAGATCAAATAAATGTTTCCTGTCGGTGAACACATATTTCTAAGAGATTTCTCGAACATTCAGGCCGGTAAATGCAATTAATGCTGTTTAATTTAAAGAAGCATTTACTTATAATATTCTATTTACATATATAATAAATTATATCTATAAAAATAACGTATAAACAGGAAATATACTAAATAGCTGTTGTAATTGATTAATTTCATTATATATATATATATATATATATATATATATATATATATATATATATATATTTATCAGTCTATTTCCTTCTTCCTATCTATATGCATATATATATATATACATAGCAGTTTATTTATTTCTAATCTATCTCAGTCCGTTCATTATTACCTATTTTTCTTTCACTATCTCACTTTATATATATATATATATATATATATATATATATATATATATATATATATATATATATATATATATATTAGGTTAAATAGAATGTTGAGAGAGTGATTTAAGAGATATTGAGAGAGAATTAATACAAGTAAAAGATTTGTCACTTAGCTGATTGATGTTACATCAGTATCTCGACTCCAGAGTTTCGTAGACTGATCCTCTGAGAATCACTCCGTCCGCTCGCCAGGGGCTATCAGCAATTGACTGATTATATTTCTCGATTTTTTCTTACATGCTCTTTTCATTATTACAATTTTATAGTGTATATGTGTGTGTGTGTGTGTGTGTGTGTGTGTGTGTGTGTGTGTTTCTTTCTTTCTGTTTGAGCTCTCTTTTTTCTTTCTTTCTTTTTTCAGTTTAACCTGACGTCTGACTTTCTTTCTTTCTTTCTTTTTCTGTGACCTACCTACCATTTTCTTTCTTTTTTTTTTGCTTTCTTTTTTTCGTTCTGTCTTTCTTCCCTTCTTTCTGTTTTCCTATGTTTTTTTTCTTTCTTTCTTTCAGTTTATTTAACTCGTGGTCGTTTTTTTTTTCCTTCTTTCTTTAAGTTTACTCTGTCGTCTTTTTTCTGTTTGACATGCCTTCTTTCTTTTCTTCTTTATTTCTTTCAGTTTAACTTGCCGTCTTTCTTTCTTTCCTTCTTTATTTCTTTCAGTTTAACTTGCCGTCTTTCTTTCTTTCCTTCTTTATTTCTTTCAGTTTAACTTGCCGTCTTTCTTTCTTTTCTTCTTTATTTCTTTCAGTTTAACTTGCCGTCTTTTTTTTTCTTTCCTTCTTTATTTTTTTTCAGTTTAATTTGTTGTCTTTTCTTTTTCTTTTCTTCTTTATTTATTTCAGTTTAATTTGCTGTCTTTTTTTTTTTTTTCTTTTATTTCTTTCAGTTTAACTTGTCTTTTCTTTTTTTTTTTCTTCTTTATTTCTTTCAGTTTAAC